CGGGGGGGGGGGGGGGGGGGGTTTGGATAGACCAAAAAAAAAAGATATACAGATATATATATATATATATAATAATGATGATGATAATGATGGTGATAGTGATGATAAATTTCGCGGCTGCCGTACCGCGCTTCGCATCCCTTCTTCCTCTTGTCGGAAACATCATCAGCATCTAGAGAGTAATATGAAAGGATCGGACGTGTGTCACACTTAATCAAGCCGCCTTTGGCAGGATCTAGAACTTGTCCCGATGAGCACATGGAGAGAGAGAGAAGGAAGAAGAAAAGAAAAAGAAAAAGAAAAAAAACCAGACCAATAAAGCAATGTCGGCTATTCGCTACAAAATACTGAAACCTAAAGCTCGACTCCGATGCTCTCCTTGAACTCCAATCTCCTTCCATCTATCCATCCATCCGTCCATCCATCCGCCCAGGGGTATAGTAACTCTTGATTAGACATTAAACATTTTCCTGTCATTCCTATTTCTTCATCCCACGAAGCTGCACTCGATCGCCAAAGCGGCCATTCGCAGGCACCCTCCCGTTTCCGTTGGCTGACTTCCTGCCTCTCTCTGGGAGAGGTGGTCGCTGTCTAGATATCTTCATCCGTCCCCAGGTTATTAGTGAAGCTGTTGTCTTGATAGGGAGAGTGGCGAGGGCGCCGAGAGCTTGCAATGGGATAACGATTGCAGTCGCGACCCACTCGACAATGACGCCTGTAAATCCACGCTTATGGTGTGCACTGTTGGCAGCAGCTGCGGCAAGAGAAATGGCATCGTTCAATCTCGATTCCAGATCATGGAGTCTTGAATCGGTCTGGAACGCTTGCAAAGTAGCCCGCTTCTCATAGCGCCGGACAGCTCGATTCAGCGCATCCAGTTCGGGCTGCATAGATCTCCGCACATCCGCCGTGAGAACAGCCGATTGCTTTCCACTCAAAGTGGGTTCTGCGGCAGGTTTGCTCGGATCCACCATCAACCCCTTAGCTTCCAAGTCGTCCAGCCTTCTTGCGAGTTCCTTCACATCGCTTAATGGACTTCCATTTACATCATACGGGTTCGTACCGACTACCCGCTGGAGATGCAGCGTCCGCGCTTGTATCAATTTGAATAGATGTGCCATCGGTCTCAGCTCCGACGCGAGTAGAAAGATCGTCAAGTTGTAATTCGAAACCAAGCCTTCTGAAGGCCGAGTCAACTGTCCCCGAATCGCGTGCAGCAAATACGCCCCCAGCGCCGGAAAAAGGAAGCAAGATAGTAAAGCGAGGAGTTCATATGTATATAGTTCGTTAGTGGCAGCTTCATGCGCCAGAATTTTTCGTCCCGGTTTTGCCTCCGTCTTCGAAGGCGGTCGAGTCTGCTCATCGTCCTCGGGGACTTCCTCCAGAGTCGCCTGCGAGAAACTCAATTCGTCATCTTCGCTCTCTTCGGCGAGCATGGCCTCCCCATTGTACTCCTCCGTCTTGCGGATCGTTTGCGCCGAGTGGTACCAGTCCCTATCTCTATCAACAGCTGTCGCGGGCCCGCTCGACCGAGAGCCAGCCAATGCACCACCACTTACCACGGCAACCTCACACTCCAATTTAGAAATATTGCCGCCAGCCCCAGAAGCATCACATCCGTGATCACCGAGCTCCCATTCGTGAACAGCATCCCCCCCAGCGCGGGCAGCAAGGCAAACGCCAGTGGCGCGCTGTCCCACGCCGAGCTCTTGTGCGTCTCATGGTCCACCCCGCTCGGTTTCGGCAATAGTAAATCATCCGTCGAGGCCTGGAACGAGTTCCGGGATTCGCGGAGACTGTAGTCCGAAAGATTGGAGCTGCGGCGGGGGCGGATACCTTGTGCGGGTCCGTCTTGCGCGTAACCGCGGTTTGAGGGGCGATGGCGGAATTGGGAGGACTGGGAGGAATCATCGGTCGTGAGGACGCGCCGGGCACCTGCGGGTGAGGAGGGCGCGGTGGGCGAGAAGCCCTCTGCCATTGTGGTGTGGTATTGTTGTTGTGCGGCGATATTGATGCTGAGTTGGAGCTGAGGTGGAGTGTTTGGAGTTGATGGACCGATTGATGATGATGGATTCCGGAGAATGCTTGGCAAAGATTGGCGAAGATTGGCGTGGCATTGGCCGATGAAGAAGAATGATGATCGACGCAGGGGACCAGACAGAATATATGAATATATATATTGAGATGTGTGTTTATATTATATGTATATAACATATCTATGTACAAATATATATATATATATATATATCAATTGACCTTGTCGAATACAAACACCGAGATGCTTCCATCTTACGTACCATCCCTTTATTTACATACATAGGCTCTTGGGCTGTGAAGCGAACACACCCACTTGCCAGGCACACACCATTGATCCTGTCGGCGCATTATGCAGGTACAGGGAGGTTTACGGAGGAAGAGTATCCGCTTTTCATCGCGGCGAATGGAACTTGAAATTAACGATCAGATAATTTGCGAACTCAGCATAGCATGAATCGGCAACACGGACTGCGGAACCAGACAATGTATATCAGAATCGTCCGTCTTGGTCCATGCGGTGATCAATCCGGTAGGACAGGATGAATCTCCGGAATCGTCTGTTGCTATTTGCCCAATAATCCAACGTTCAGAAACACTCTCCGAATCTCTCTCTTCCTCTCTCTACGAACCGAACAGGCACCTCATCCCCCCTCGCCATCCTCAACGTGAGTACCTGCTCACACCTCCTCAGAATACCTTCCGCCCTCCTCACCGCCAGCCTATACACTGCCTTCCTCGCCTCTCTTCCCATTTCGGCAACCTGTTCATCGCTAGCCCACTCCGAGACATCAAGCTCTACACTGTACTTCCGAAAAATCGTCGACACCACGGCCGTGCTTTCAACCTGCGCGAATCGGCGACCAGGACAGGCACGCCCCCCATCCGAGAAGGTCATGAATGCTCCCTTGGGGGGCTTGAGCAGGGACGTTGCGGTGGATGTGATGAAGGTCGTACTTTCGAGGCCATCAGCTTCGTTCTCGGGGCTGGCGGTAGTGCAAACCTCGGCGGCGGCTCTTTGCCCATGAGGGAGCCACCGCTCAGGCTTAAACGCATCCGGGTCTTCGGGCCAGTATCGTGGATTGCGATTCGTGCCTACGACGTTGATATGCATGAACACCTGATCCGGGAGCCAGACTTGTTTGCCGTCTACGCTCACGTTCTGCTCCCCGCTTATGACTTTGGGTATGTTGAGAATTGCGGGTATCAGACGCAGTTCTTCTGTGAGCACGGCTCCGACCATGGAGTTGTATAGACGAGGCATGTCGTGTTGGTAAGAGAAGGCAGAGCTGGATTTGGAGCCGAGGATAGAGTCAATGTCTACTTGCATGCGGCGTTGGGTAGGTAAGTGCATAGCCAGGAGAAGAATACTGAAGTGGATGTTGTTGGCCGTCGTTTCGTGGCCCGCAAAGAGGAATATGAAAGAATTGCCAAGGATTTCTTCGCGAGTGAGCGTTGCTCCTACGAATAGATCGGTCTGGTTCTCTTCGTAGTTTGCTTTGATCATCGGGCCTTGAATGTTAGCTGAGACATACAGACGGAGGCCAGGAGGTACCTAGTAAATCCATGGCTCCCTTGTCGATTTCCCCGAGACAAATCTGTTTCTTTTTGATTTCTAGCAGCTCTCTGAAGTAAGTTGAACATTCAAGAAATGCTTGATACGCCCTTCGGTGGAATTTGAATGGAGAGACCTCTACACTAATGTCAGAGAGATTGGTTCAGATGTGATTCGGTGAAGGATAGCATACTTAACATCCAAGGCGGTACGAGAACAAACCACACAAGATTGTTCAACAATTCAGTCAGTCCTACCTTGAAAGATAGTTGATGCCCGTTTGTAAGCTCCTCCGTACTGAAACCCGGTAATCCCTCTCCATCTTTCGGCCTTTGGTTTTCCCAGAACTGCGGGACTCCGAATCCAGCCGCGCTGATGACATGGAGACTCAACGTCGCCGCATCTTCTGCCGTGTCACTCAATTTCATGACTGCCCCCGTATTCCCCCCTTTGCCAGCCCACAGCTCCATCATGCCCTCCGCCTGCCTCACACTCTCCTCGAACACCAATCTATTACTCCTCTCGCTAAAACTCGGCCCTACAATCTTCCTGTGCCTCTTCCACTCCGCCCCCTCCTGCGTCAAAATGCTCTTCCCAAACAGGTCCACAATCTTGTAACTCCGCACCGGCTTCAGGAAGTCCGTTTTTCGCGTCGTGATCTGGGATACGAGTTCCGCATTCGAGGTTCTCAAATAGATGATGAATGGGGTGACGACGAGGTAGGTATCCCCGTACCGGTGTTCGGCGACGCGAGGGGAAGTCCAGGAGACATTCCGGTCGAGAAGAGAGAACCAGCCCGAACTCCTCACGGGGGGTATCCGGTGCAGGACGGGCCGTAGGATTGCCGCGAGAAAGACCCACTGGTAGCCGATGATGTAGAAAGCTGTATAGATGTTACCTCTGACCCAGTCCTTATTTCTGAAAAGAGCTCGAAACGCCAGAATTAGAAAGGTACTTACGACCAACGATGTACGGCAATCCGCTCCTCTTCGCATAGCCAACGTTCCTCCAAAAATCGCCCACCGTCTTCCCGATCGTAAATGCCACCATGATGATCACCGTAAGAGCGACTACGCCCGCCATTTTGAAAGACTTTCTACTAGGGATTTTCGAACGAGAAGAGGACCGTCCGTAAAGGTGAGTAGAGTAACGCGGTTACGAGATGTGTGGGAAATATAATGCGTGGACCAAACATTTCAGCTCCCGGAAACCATTTCCCACCATTGTTACGCCAGCCCGCCACCCGCGTGGAAAACCCATCACCAGACGCTCGTAGCCAGCAGAGTCTAGGAGGATACGGTTACGAGCAGGTGTAACGGTACCGGAAAGAAGCTGGGCCGGTTACTGGCGTCGGTTGGGCCACTAGAGCCCGACGAATGGGTGCTTGAGGAATACGGGGCGTATTGCTGTGCGAACTGACAGATTCGAAAAGAGAAAATTGAGGGGATTGTTTCCCTGGTAGGAAGGGGATGTGAGAGTTAAATAAAGGAAATTCAAAGCGAAAAAGCCAGTTGAGGGTAGAAGACTAGTCAGAGAAGCGAGATTTGGGCAGGGCGAGCATATGTGGTTAAAGAAGGAAGAGAAATAAACAAAATTCGGGGATTGTCCACGTGATTGGATAATTATCCCCTGTCTATATATCTCAATTGATTCCCTAGGGTATGGAATCTTTCTCCTCCTTGTGAATGCCTTGATTATCGAGGATCTTTTCCAGCATCGCGGCTAAGGTTCCAAATCAACTGCGATACATGGGAATTCTGCCTGGTCATCGTCAGTGGGTCACCACACTCCGAATAGTAGTCGTTGATGTATGACAGTCAATTCAGCACGTACTGCCATTTAATTCAAAATTTGAAGCTATATTGCCCATCTGTAGTATAGATTTCAGAGTACGTTTCGGACCAATGTTTGTTTACTTTCAATTGTGCTCCTAAGCGAACGACCTCCCCTAATGATTGCTTACGAAAGCGGAAGCTTATTTGGAATGCGCTACCACTAAAATCCAAAACTCATAAGCTTTAGGTTGAAGTTCAATCTCGGGGACCAAATATATCGCTCAAAGTCACCTTCTGATTGCCATGTGGGAGGGAGGCGAAGGGCGTTCAAGATCTAGACAGGAAGCTTCATGTATACATCCTTTCCTGCGCAGGGTCGATGCGCTGACAATTTTCAGATTCATATCGAGTGCTGTCTCTAGGCATGATTTTAACATGTAGGAATCTATCATTTTTTACAATGACAATTCTATGGATTCAGTGACATCATCCTCAAAGCCTGTACAGGTCTCCACTCTGCACTGCAGCTTAAAAAGCCACCGAGTCCTTCCCGACGCTATTGCGATGCAGTCAAACACCATTGTTACTTTGGAAACTTACCCGAATCGTTCGGCGAGCACATTCGCCGCCTCGCGAAAGCTCCATAACATTGTGGATGAACAATAATGGGTTCTCAACAAATCTTTCGCGTTCCCTGGAAACGAATCATCCACATGGCGAGGGATGTTGGGTGAGGGGGGGCGATGGAGCAATAAATACGGATATGTTCCCTCTACACTTCTTTCAAAGAACAAGGGGCATTTTTCTATATCAGCTGTCTGATCCTCGATCATTTTATAATCGTGAAATATTAAATTTTCGCGTTGTAATTTCACGATGCAGCTCTTCAGCCATACAGGCCTGTTGGGCCACTCCGTGCAAGGAGGCGCACTAGAAGCTCTCGTCTGCGCAACTGCAGCATGTGGATTCTTGCTGTTCGGGTATGATCGTAAGCCTTCCTCACCCATAAGTTCAGCAAGAAAAAGGCTGAGATGTGTGTTCAGAGGGCATCATGTCCGGCATCATTACCGAAGACAACTTCCTCACCTACTTCCCGAAGATGGCACCCCACAACAAGAGCGGCGCAATTCAAGCGCTGGTCGTCGCTATCTACGAGATCGGCTGTCTCATAGGCTCAATATTCATCATCTTCTACGGCGATAGAATGGGACGGCGACGTGCTGTGTTGCTGGGTGTCGCTATCATGTTGATCGGGACCGTACTTCAAGCCTCCAGCTTTGAGATTGGACAGTTGATCGTAGGACGTATTGTAACAGGCGTCGGAAATGGAATGAATACGTCTAGTATCCCGGTCTGGTATGTAGCAGGAGAGAATTTCCTGTCCCTCCTCTATCCTGCTCCCGAATTCTTCCTAGACAGGTAATCGCTGAGCCCCCCGCGTCCTTCTAGGCAGTCCGAGATGGCGCCTCCCAAGATCCGTGGCTTCTTGGTATTGTTTGAGGGAGCATTGATAGCTGGTGGAAGTATTGTAACACAACCTGTAACCCTGCCTGGATGCTGACCCTTGTCAGTTATGATCTCCTACTGGCTCAACTACGGATTCTTCTTCGTCACCCAATACGGCTCCTTCCAATGGCGATTCCCTCTCGCTTTTCAAGCTGTTTTTGCGATCATTCTCTTTTTAGGCGTCGTTGCTCTCCCCGAGTCGCCCAGATGGCTTCTCAAGCACGACAAAGACAAAGTCGCTCTGGAGATCCTCACTCGCCTAAAGAGATGCCCTGCCGAGGACCCGATCATCCAAGAGGAGGTTGCACATATCAAGAAGATCAAGGAGATCACTGATGGCAAGAAACTGACCCTGAAGGAGTTCTATGGCAATGGGCCGGAGATGAACAGATGGAGAGTGACTATTGGATACACAAGCCAGTTTTTCCAGCAGATTGGCGGAACGAACCTGGTCACGTACTATGCAACAACCGTTTTCGAAGACTCCCTCGGGTTCAGTCCCGCGCTTTCCCGCCTCCTAACTGCATGTTACGGGACGCTCTATCTCATCGCCGCGATCGCCGCTCTCTTCATCGTCGACCGCTACGGACGCCGTAGGATGTTAATCGTTGGCTCAGTCGGCATGGGTACCAGTGCTATGGTCATTGTTCGTATATTTATTTCCCTTTTCCCACCAACGAAATGGTCCCTATCGACTAACACCCCCAGGGCACCTGTCTCTCTCAATCGACCGAAACCTACAAAGCCCCGGCCTACGTCGCCACAGTCTTTATCTTCATCTTCATCGCCTTCTTCGCCCTCGGCTGGCTCGGCATCACCTGGCTGTACCCCGCCGAGGTCACGCCCATCCGCATCCGCGCCGAGGCCAACGGCCTCTCCACCTCCTTCAACTGGCTCGGTAACTACGCCGTGGTGCAGCTCGCGCCCATCATGATCTACTCCATCTCGTGGAAGACGTACTTTGTGTTCATGTGCACCAACTTCGCCTTCATACCCGTCATCTACTTGACCTTTGTGGAGACGAAGGGGTATCCCCTGGAGCAGCTGGATGCCATCTTTGAGGAGGCGAAGAAGAAGGGGGAAAATCCCGTCTGGACGGAGAAGAGGGTGAGGAGGGAGAGGAAGGCGAGAGAGTTGGCTGAGAAGAATGGTGAGCTGATGCTGGAGGAGGAGAAGGAGAGTCAGCCGACTTCGATTGTGGGGAAGGAGGGAGGTGACGAGAATGCTTGAATTGTGTCTATGGAGGAAAAATAGATGATGGTCTGAATCTTTTGATGGCGCTTGGGAGTATGATGACATTATTGAAAAATCTAGGGAATATTAAAGACCATCTTATCTACTCTACGAAATCCTAACATGGTCAGAGAATCTTCATCGAAATCAACAATCCGCTCCCCTCTCCCCTATATCCTCTCCCTCACTTGGATTTTATCATGAAAATCACACCCGCACCCAAGAACAGCCCCCCCAAACCCATCCTAGCTCAAGTAGAATCAGAAAAGCAGAATGTTACAAAAATTCCCTTCCTCTCTTCCCTCTCTCTCCCCCCCGATTGACAAAGTCAACATAAGAAAAAGGGAAAAAATGGGAACAAAGGGAGAAGAAGAAGAAAACGGGCTCGGTTCAATACCATTTGACGTACTTTCTCCCAATATCGATTCCCATCCAGTTTGTCCTGAAGACAACTTGCTTAATTAAGCTAAGACATCTCGCCTGTTCGGAGGATAATCAATGCATAAATGATTTGGGTTTATGAATGGGGAGAGAGAATAAATTTTGGAAGCGGTGTTGAGGTAAGCGAGGATGGTACAGGATTTCATAGACTTCCAATTATGTTTTTAACAGCTAAGAAACATCAAAAACAAAGATCGAAAAACACACGAGTACAAGCGCCACCTTCCCCAAAAACGGCCGAGGACAGAGGTAAGCAATCCCTTGCCAAACACTCGCGTTAGATTTTGAAAATAAGAAGGTTGTTAATCATTGAAAGGTACTTGGCAACGTGTTTCGCGCCATTTTCCAATCCAAGGCCTGGGTACCATGAAAGCGCCTTTTAAAAAAGAAAAGAATTAAAAAAAAAAAATAAAAATAAAAAAGAATAAAAAAGAATAAAAA